GCTAAACCAAGATGCTGTGAGGCTCAGCTCTGTGTCCTCAGACAGGAGCGGGGCTGTGGGATGAGGTGGGAATTGGTGCACTGGGAGCTGCTGCCAGCACCTGGGGGTGGGCAGGATCCCCCACAGCCAAGCCCTGCAGCCGGGCAAACACTGCCAGGTTGGGGGTGTGCAGCCGAAGCAGCGAGGGAGGAAGGCTTCCCAGCTCTCTGCTTTCATTGCCTCCGTGGAGGCTTCTTGCACAGGGCCGTTTTCAGTGGGTTGGGATTGCTCCGGCTTTACCGCAGCTGTGAACACCCATGGGCAAAAGCCGAGAGTGAAACTGAGACCAGCCCTTGGGCCGGCAGCTCCCAAAGCTGGTAGGGGAGCTGGCTTTGCCTGGGAGGGCATGTCTGAGGGGGCAGGGGCGAGGGCCCTGCCTGCCCTGCCCTCTCCCTGGGGCACGCAGAGCAGAGGTGTCCTGTTTCCAGGCCAGGCCCCGCTGGTGCTGTCTGTAAAGCAGCAGGGAGATGAATATGCAAGGTGCAGCCCTGTGGGTGAAGCTCCCAGCTGGTGGGCGGAGAGGGAGACGCTCTCCTCTTGCCAGAGAGCTGTGCTCTCGTCTGTCACAGGAGCCTGTCCCGGGCCTGCTCCTGCTTCTCCCCTTTCTTCCTTCTTAGGGCGTTACTCGCTCTGGTTCCCGCCCTCTGCCACAGGGCACTGTTTGACCAAAATAGCGGCTGCCCCAGTTGACCCTGCAGGCTCGATTTTGTGGACTGAGACCTCTCCATGTCCTCGCCCTCAGCTCTGCCTCCGGATGTTGGTGGTGCTGGCAGCTCCTCTGGGCCAGTGTTGCTGCAGTGGGAGCCATGAGCATGGCAATTGTTTTCCAAGTTTTTAATGTGCGTCACATACGGAAGACCCCCTGGTTGTATCTTGGGAGATCTGACAAGCCCGTGCTTTTGGCAGTAAGCACAGTAACAGCTGGGATGAGGCAGGGTTCCTCACCGAGCGCTGTGTGGGGCTTCCCTAAAACACTGCAGTGGAGGTCGTGCGAGGGCACTGACCCTGGGAGGACCCAGCGCTGGGGCAGAGAGCGGATCCTGATGCTGTTGGGCCTTCCCCACCCACTCCTCTTGCCATGCTTGCTTTCTCTCTTCTTTTTAGGCCACTAGTTCCTTGCCAGAGAGTTTGACCACAGAGAGTCGCCAAGATAGCTGGGCCAGGAAGAAAACGTCGCACCCCTGACCCAGACTCCATTACCGACCCCGGCGGGCCGTTTGTGTCCTCCAAACGGCTGAAAATGTCCAGCAGCACCAATGCCCCTGGCCAGAGAAGAGTGTCTCGGGGCTTGGATGATGCTGCCAACAAGAAGAAGCAGAAGGATCGAGCCAACCAGGAAAGCAAGGAAGGTGAGAGCCCCTCAGCAGTGCTGCTGTGAGCAGGCCCAGGGTTTCTCAGTCCCGCAGGGTGGGAGCCTCACAGCCATCTGCTGCAGGATAAGCAGATTTAACTAATCGCTTCCTGCAGCTGATAGTAACCCGTGTGATGTGGTATCCTCTTCGGCACAGTGTCCTCCCTGGACCTGTAACCTCCTTCCCTCGGGTGCTGCTTAGCCCTAGCTCTGTGAGGAAGGTCAGGCCTGGGGTCTTGTTAGCTTAAGCCTGGAGTTGGCCTCGGTGGTTGCTTCTAGACTCTGGTTTTGGCTGGGACTGAGCTGTCCCAGTGCAGAGGGAGAGGGATTGAAACCTGTGGATGCTTTTGTAGTGGGAGGTGGTGCTGCTTCCCCATTGCTTTGCAGAGGACGGATGCTGTGAGGCAGCCAGCACCAAGTGCAGGGCCTGCGGGAGAGGCTGGTGCTTTAACCTGTGTGTCACGGCAAGGTGTGGCTCAAGCAGAGTCATTGCCATGGAGCAATTCCCTCCCTCGCTGATGCAGGTCCAGTGACGAAAGTGATGCTTCAGGTGCAGGCTCTGGTGCTGGGCAGGGAATGCTGCGGGCAGAATGCAGGCAAGGGTTGCTCTCGCAGCCCTGTGGCCCCGCAAAACCGATTGATTTCTGTGCCTGCTCTGTTACGTCTCTCGTAACCTCAAAATCGCAGGGTGTTTTGTAGGGCAAGGTAAGCGAACACGTGCTGAGGTCTGTGCTGGAACAGCCGGCTGCAGTCCCCAACGTGAAATCCCACGGCACAGAGTGCGGTGTTGTGCCTTCTCTTGCTCAGGAGCTGTGCTGTAGCCTCCAGTAAGGCCTCGCCCTCTGCCCCTTCTGATGTGGGGGCTCCTGCCTTCTCGGGGGCTGCATCTGTCCCCTCTGTGTGGAGGTGGTGAGGGGCTGGAGCGAGCTCTAGATCGCACAGGCAGTGTCGCTTGTGTGCTTGTTACACTGCCAGCTACACCAACACCTTCACACCAGTGTCTGTGGTGGTCAGCAGAGGTTTCCTACTGGTTTGTAGCTGATCAAGGGAGGCAGTGACAGCCCTGTGAGTGCTCCGGGGTGGAGACCACAGCTCCCATTGCTGCTGGTTCTCAGCTCCAAGATGAGGTGCTGTTGCTTTGCCTGGCAGAGCTCACTGCTCTGTGAGGGTGGAGCAGGCCCTGAGATGTTTCTGGCTGGTGGAGGTGATCCTGCGGGGAGCAGGGATTAGGTGTCAGCTCTGTTTGGTTCCCCAGCCTGATCTGGAGGGAAGTTTCAGCTGTGGACATTGGCAGCTTGTGCAGGAATGGGAATGTTGAAGTGCAGCTGGGCCGTGTGGTTCTCTCATGACCAGAATTGGTCTGAGCACAACCAAAAATTAGGTTCTCCCTGTCAGATCAAGGCAGGAGTCCTCTGCATGGCTGGAGGCTGAGAGCCTGGTTACCATGAGCTCCACACAGACGTACCTCAAAGCAGCGCTCTCTGCACGGCGCAGTGATGTTGTGTTGCTCCCACCGCAGTGCTGGTTAGACTGGGACGTGGTGGTGTGGCCCAGAGCAGCTGTCCTGGGGGGTGACTTGCTGTGGTGCTGCAGGCAGGGCTTCAGGGAAGGGAGAGGTGTGAGGGAGCAGAGGAGGGAGATGAGCAGCACATGCAGGATGAAAGGCCTGGACAGAGCTTCAGGGGAGAGGGAGGTGATGCGTGAAATTTTAGGCATCAGAGTGCCAGCCCATGCTCTGAGGTGACAGAATGACACACCAGCCCGTGCTCTGCTTCTCTGCCCACCAGTGTCTCGCCCTGAGCCCAAGCAGGCTGAGACCAGCCAGGAGAAGGACTCAGAGGAGGGTAAGTCGAGGTGTGCGCTGCCTGTCAGTGCATGGCCCTGGTGTGCCCTTGCTGAGGGATCTGAAGCTCTCACCTTGTTGTTGTCCCATGCTCCAGCATAGAGCAAAACTAACCTGAGCGCTCCCTTGCCCCAGCGTTGGTTTTAACAGAATGCAGCCTTCCCAGGGCAGAGAAGGGTGCACGTGGCTGGGAAGGGCTGTCAGCAAGGAAGTGGCCCTGGGCACGTGGCAGCCTGCTTCCAATTTGAGTGTCACCGTGCCACTGAGCACAGCCTGGGGACATCTTTGCTGCCAGCATCCATCTTGCTTGTTTCTGAGCAGGGAGCTGGGCTGGAAGAGCTCAAGCCATGTCACTGCTGGCTGGTTTCTGCCTTGGTCCAGGCCTGCTTCGAGGATGGAGTAGGTCACCCTTGTGCCTCAGAGGGCAGAATGAACGTGAGAGAGATTCAGGTGATTGAATCACCTTTTTGCCTTGAAGACTTCAGGGCAGCACAGGGCCAGACCTGGAGCGTGGCAGAGACCCAGTGGGAATTCTGCCTGCAGTGGAGTGATACTGCCACACCGTTTTCTTCCTGGGTGCAGCATTCTTGCCTGGCTCAGCCATGTTAGCAGTGCTCACCTGGCAGGAGTGCGGTGCTTTGGTGATTGTAGCTGGGCTGCTTGGTTTGCCTATGCAAAGGGGAAGCAGCAATTTCTGGCTGTGGTCAGAGTCTGCTTGAATCCCCCAGAATAATTCTGTGGCTTCCTTGTTCCTTGGGAAAGTAGCAATTGCTTTGTAGTTGGCAGGAGCCACCCCTTCTTCACATGACTGGGCCAAGAGCAGCGCTGCCTTTCTGATCTCTCTGGTTCCCACCAGGATTCACCTGCCCTGCTGCAACTTACACTTGTTTGTGGCCAGTCTGATGAGAGCAGGTTGTGAACGTCCTGTTTAATTGACATGAGCTGTGTCCCCTGCATTGACCTCCTTGAACTGAGGCTCGTGTTCCCCAGCCAAGGAGGGGGCATTCACACTCCAGCGAGTGGGTGACTCTTCCCTCCCTCTTCCTAGAGATGCTGATGGACTGGAAGCAGAACGCTGACGAGATCATCATCAAGCTGAACTTGGGCAGTGGAGCTCTGAAGGTGGAGGATGTGGATGCTGCTTTCACCGACACGGACTGTGTGGTCAAACTACCAGGTATGGGGAGGAGAGCAACTGCTGCGGGTGTTTCTCCAGCAGGTCTTGGCACAGCTCTGGGCTGGCCGTGGGGCTGATCCAGACAGGCGTAAAACCTTTCCTTCAGAGGCAATGCCCTGCCGTCAGCTGGCATGTTTTCAGCCAGCAGGCAGGGCTGATACAGGAGCAGTGTAAAAGAAGAAGGGCGTAGAGCTGGGGAGCTGGCCTCTGCGCCAAGTGAACAAGCACCTGCTGCTGCGCTGGTGTGTCTCTGTCCCCAGTTCACTGGGATGACTGAGTTGGCCCTGGGTATCCCTTGGAAAAGTGACGATGCCCCTGAGGGCATGGAGGCCCAGGGTCTTCCCTCTGGGAAGGAGGCCAGCCAGATGTACAAAGCAAATCCAGGGAAGCTGGCATTACCCTGAGGGTTCGTGGGGTATGGTGGCAGCCTGCCTGCAGCCTCCTTGGCTCTGGATGAGTGATTCCTTGATCCTTGGGACAGGTGAAGGCAGGCTGTGGGTTAGGTGACAGCTGCCTGGAGCACTGCCTGAGGTGTGGTCCCCCTCTGCTTGCAGATGGGCGCCAGTGGAGCTGTCAGTTTTATGAGGAGATTGAGGGCTCCTGCAGCAAGGTCCAGTGCAAGAAGGGCAACTTTCTACAGCTTGTGCTTCAGAAGAAGATCCCACTCCATACCTGGTCATCGCTTCTGGTGAGGAGAGAAGGATCTGCCTTCTGGGGAGCTGGGGAAGCCAATGTGAGGGCTTTGCTTGCTTCCTGTGCCCAAGAAGCAATGTGGGGCACATTTTGCATCCATATGCTGCCTGAGGGTGGTGACCCAGCTGCCTCTGTCCCAGGGAGGGGGTTGTCCCCTCTGTTCCTGCCTGCCCCATAGCCTCCAGGTTCTGGAGCAGAGTCCCAGCGTGCTGTGGGAAAGGGGAGTGAGGGTCAGGGGCTGGCAAAGTGTGAGAGGTGCTGCTGTCTGGATACCTTCCCACTGTGCTGCACTGCTTTTCACAGAAGAGAAGGAAAGACGGATCCAAAGAGCTGGCCAAAGGGGCCACATGCTGGGAGAATGGGAAGGAGAAGGCTGCTTCTGCAGAGCTGGCCCCTGAAGAGCCTAAGGCTGAAGGTGCAGAGCCAACGAGGTCCCGACGGGAGCCCTCCAACCCCAAACGCGCTCCGGGAAGAAGCGAGGCCCTGGGAGGGAAAAGCCCAGCCAGCCCAGGGACACAGAGCGGCCCCAGCGCCAAGCGGGCAGTATACCTCAAAGTGGCTCCCACTGAAGAGGAGTCAAACGCCAGAGTCACTGGGAGCGTGGAGCCCAGCAAAGGGCACAGCGGGAGGGCAGGCAGCCACAGAGCCAACCAGATCGATGTGCCCACGGCCTTGGCAGACCTCGCACCCCCACTGGAGAAGGTACCCGAGGACACAGCTGAACAGGGCACCCTGGCTACCTTGGCCCCTTCACAAGAAATGCTGCCGATGAGATGGGCTCTGGGGTCCTGTGGGCGGTGCAGAGGGCTGGCATGGGCCTGGCTGTGGTGGGGGAGAGGGTGACATGAGGACCCCATGGTCGCTGGAGTCGTGGTGCTAATGGTGCCAAGCTGAGCATGGGATGTGTGGGGAAAGCGGGTGGCGTGAGGCTCTGTCTGGGACTGGCAGGAGTCATAGCAGAGGGGCCGGGGCAGCATGGGGGTGATGGAGTCTGTTTTTCACTGTCTCCCTCTGTTTTGAAAGGCTGTGGTTTTGGGCAAGGAGAGTGTTCCTGTGGAAATGCCACCTCTCGCAGCTACCACAGAGGTGTTCCCCCACCGCGTTGCCACCTGTGTGGAGAAGAGAGTCCTGCAGCCGGGCAGCCCTGCTGAGGCCTTACGGGGCCGGGACTGCATGCCTGTCCTGGGAGAGAGCTCTAAGGCTGTCCCAGCAGCCACCCCTCCCCTGGGCAGAGACGGTGAGAAGAGGGACTGGTCAAAGGACGACGTGGCTCTGGAAGCAGCGGCTGATGGTGAGTGGTCGGAGCTCAGTGGTCAGGCTGGTTGGGAAGGTCCATCTGCTCAGGACCTCTCCTGGGTCTGCAAGTGCTGCCTCGGCATGCAAGGAAGGTGTCATTTGTCTCCATGGTTTCCCTTGTTCAGAGCCAGAGCCTTTTGTGAGCCTGACCTTTGTCAAGAATGACTCATACGAGAAGGGCAATGACCTGGTGGTGGTGCATGTCTACGTGAAGGAGATCCACAAGGAGACTTCCAAGGTGTTGTTCCGGGAGCAAGACTTCACGCTGGTGTTCCAGACAAGGTGCAGGCATGCCCTGGGATGATACCAGGCTGCTATGGAGCTCCTGGCTGTGGCCAGGCTACTTGTTTGTTCACTTCTTCTCACCTGCTCCCAATTTCTTTGCAGTGATGCAAACTTCCTTCGCCTCCATCCTGGCTGTGGACCCCATACCGTGTTCCGGTGGCAGGTGAAGCTCAGGTATGGCTCCTGTCCTTCCGGCCCACACCAGGGCAAGGGAACTGAGAGTGCAGAGGTGGAGCAAGATCCGGTTCCAGCTGGTGGATCTGTCCAGGGAATACTCATTTCTGCTTATGGAGATCTCCCTCACACGGGCTGCATTAGTGCCCCAAGTCTGGGCTGCCTTGGCTGTGTATGATGGCTCACAGGGGAGGAAATACCAGTGTCTCCTTGCCTGCAGTTTCCCCACCCCAGCTTGTTCTAGAGCTCTTGGGGACAGAGCCAGACCTGCCTGTGTGCACTTCAGGTGGGATGTCCAGCAGGAGGGGACATGTGGAGCCAAGCAGAATGAATCTGCCAGGAAAGGGGCTCTTTGTGCTTGGTGTGGCCGCACTCTAAGGTTTCTGCCTTGCTTTGCCAGGGTCACCTCCAGATCAGTGCTAGCCGGGTCCTTACTGCCTGGAGGCCATGTCTGAGGCTGCAGGGCGGTCTGGGGCTCCCCCCCTGACTTGCTGTGTGTCTTGCAGGAACTTTATTGAGCCGGACCAGTGCACATACAACTTCACAGTGTCTCGCATCGATGTCTGCCTGAAGAAACGCCAGAGCCAGCGCTGGGGGGGGCTGGAGGCTCCAGCCACACGAGGTCTGCACCCTGCCTTCTTGTCTTGCCTGCCTGCTGCACCCCAGTGGGGCACGGGCCCTCCTCACCGCCGGCGACAGTCAGATGGTGCCAGATGCTCCAGTGTGGGGTTGTGGGGAAGGAGAGGGGCTGAGTGGGTGTGGGGCAGGATGAGTCAAACACTTGGGGAAGGGCACCACTGTTCCCCTTGCTCGTGGGGAAGAGGGGTAGGAGAGAGCCTGTGTGTGAGCATGGACCGAGTGGCACAGCCCCACCGTGGGCAGCGCGTGGTGCTGCTAACCACAGGCCCCCCCTTCCCCCTTTTTAAGGTGCAGTGGGTGGTGCAAAGGTTGCCATGCCTACAGGCCCTACCCCTCTGGACAAGAACCCCCCGGGCAGTAACCAGCACCCCCTGTCCAGCAAGGAGGAAGCCCGAGCCAGTGACAAAGAGAAGCCACGCATGGAAGATGGGGGCCTGGATGGTGTGGCAGCTCGTACAGCCCCAGAGCATGTGGCAGTGAAGCAAGAGCCGCACATCCCCTCGGTGAGTGGGGCCACACTGGGTTTGTCCTGGGTGGGAAGAAAGGAAGGGCCCACTTGTCCCTCTCGGTGTTGCTTTGGAGGCTGGCAAATTGTTCCCAGAGGAGGAGGCAGCAGTCCTCAGTCACAGCTGGCAGGATTGGAGGCAGCCGTTGCCTTGTTTGTCCCAGTCCTGGTGGGAGATGGTGTGGTAGTTCCAGCCCAGCCATGTCTGAGGGGTGCCTTGGGCAGTCGAGGTCCCCTGGTGTTCCCAGAGAGATCCCCTGAACGCAGCACCCTCACACCCACCTCTGCTTTGGCAGCCCAAACCAACGTGCATGGTGCCACCGATGACACACAGCCCGGTGAGCACCGAGAGCGTGGAGGATGATGAGGATGAGGACGAGAAGAAGAAGGTGTGCCTGCCTGGCTTCACGGGACTGGTGAATTTGGGCAACACCTGCTTCATGAACAGTGTCATCCAGTCCCTGTCCAACACCCGAGAGCTGCGTGACTACTTCCATGGTGAGCCCACGCGGGGAGCCCAGGAAAGCCTTGCTGCTTGGATGGTGTAGCCAGCGGCCACCCTTGCTCTCCCACGTCTCTTACAGATCGGTCGTTTGAGTCGGAAATCAACTACAACAACCCGCTGGGGACGGGGGGACGCCTGGCCATCGGCTTTGCCATGCTGCTGCGCGCACTGTGGAAGGGCACACACCATGCCTTCCAGCCCTCTAAGCTGAAGGTAGGGACACAGGCACCAGTTCTGTACAGAAGCTGCTTTGGGTCCCTGGTGCCCCTCGGTGGAGGCTTGGCTGTGCTGCTGAGTGGGCACTGGTGGGTGCAGCCAGTTTTATGTGCGGGCCAGGCGGTGCTACCAGGTGGCTGCTGGCCAGCCCTGACTGCTGTGCTCCCTCCAGGCAATCGTGGCCAGCAAGGCCAGCCAGTTCACTGGCTACGCCCAGCACGATGCTCAGGAGTTCATGGCCTTCCTGCTCGATGGCCTGCACGAGGACCTCAATCGCATCCAGAACAAGCCCTACACAGAGACTGTTGACTCGGATGGGAGGCCCGATGAGGTGAGGATGTCCTTCCCCAAACCTGCTGGGAGAACAGCCCTGGCCCAGGTGGTTTAGGGTAGTGCTGAGCCCTTTCTCCCTACAGGTGGTAGCTGAGGAAGCCTGGCAGAGACACAAGATGAGGAATGACTCCTTCATTGTGGACCTGTTCCAGGGCCAGTACAAATCCAAGCTGGTGTGCCCAGTGTGCTCCAAGGTAGAGCAGCCCTGGGAACTCTGTCCCTGTCCTGGCTGTGCAGCAGGCTCCTGACGCTCAGAGGGCTCAGGTCTGCTGGGACTGCTGCCCCACTGATCTCAGTCATAAGAACTCTCTGCAACTGAGTGTGCTCTTATGTCTGCAGGTGTCCATCACCTTCGACCCCTTCCTGTACCTCCCTGTGCCCCTCCCACAAAAGCAGAAGGTGCTGACTGTTTACTACTTCGCAAAGGAGCCGCACAAGAAACCCATCAAGGTAAAGAATACTATCTACTCTGGGGAGTTGGTCTGTGAGGGCTCCTGGAGGTACCCCAGGCAGCTGGTCCTGTGCTGACAGGCTAAGCCTTGTGTTAAGCAAGGGCCTGCACGCATTGGCGTGGTGTGACTGATGTGGCGTTTTCTTTATGGCAGTTTCTCGTGAGTATCAGCAAGGAAAACTCCAGTGCCATGGAGGTGCTTGACTCAGTGGCCCATAGCGTGCGTGTGAAACCGGAGAACTTGCGGCTGGCGGAGGTGAGAACACTTATGCTGGGGAGCAAGCAACAGGCTGCTCTTGTGGGTGCCCTGGCTCCCGCAGCTCTGCAGGGGATCTGGCCAACGGCAGTCACTTGTCTGTATCCAACATGTCCACAGGGCAGGTTGTGTCCATGGGTGGCCTTGTCCTGTACAGGGTGCTGCCAGGCAGATCCCTGCTCGGGAGGGCTGCATCACCACAGTGGGACAAGAGATGTCTGTGCTTCCTTGGCAGTACCCCATGGTACTGCTCTCCCCGTAGCTCAATGTGGGACTGAGATCTGGGGCTTTCTCAGGAGAGGAAGCATGGGGCAGCCCTCACGTGGCCCCGCTTTGCTGCTTTCCTGGCAGGTGATCAAGAATCGCTTCCACCGCATGTTTCTGCCGTCCAACTCGCTGGACACGGTCTCCCCCACGGACCTGCTGCTTTGCTTCGAGGTGCTGTCCCCAGAGCTGGCCAAGGAGCGGGTGGTGGAGCTGCAGGTCCAGCAGGTAAGAGGAGACATTGGCACTCCTGGGAGCCACACAGGGAGGCTGAGCAGGAGGGGAGAACTGCGCACAAGGGTGCCTGGCTGCAGTGAGCATGTGTGCATGCCGAGGCCGCCTTGTCCTGCACAGGTGCCTTTCCCTGCCCAATGGGTCCTTTCTCCTGCAGCGTCCGCAGGTGCCCAGCGGCCCCGTCGCCAAGTGTGCGGCCTGCCAGAAGAAGCAGCTGTCGGAGGATGAGAAGCTCCGGCGCTGCACGAGGTGCTATCGCGTCGGTTACTGCAACGTGTGAGTTGGCTTAGTGCCTGGCATGGAGGGAGGGTCCCCTCATCCCCAGTGCACCCCTCTGGCTCTGCCACGCTCCTGCCCAGGGTGGTCACGGACTGGGGTTCACCTGGGGCTGTGTATGTGTTACAGGGCATGTCAGAAAACACACTGGCCAGACCACAAGGCTTTGTGCCGCCCTGAGAACATCGGTTTCCCCTTCCTCATCAGCGTGCCGGAGTCCCGCCTCACCTACGCCCGCCTGGCCCAGCTGCTGGAGGGCTATGCAAGGTGAGGATCTGGGGAAGGAGGGTGCTGCTGCCCCAGTGCTGAGCTCAGCCCCGTGCCTGGCCAGCTCTGACGGCCACCTCCTTGCCCAGGTACTCAGTCAGCGTGTTCCAGCCACCTTTCCAGCTGGGTCGGATGTCACCAGAGCAGGGACTGCAGCCTCTGCTTCCGGACAAGCTGGAGCCCCTGGCCAAGAGCAGCTGTGCAGCAGCCACCTCTATCCCTGAGCTGGGGGACGGGGACAGGGCTTCCAGCCTCCTGCAGGAGCCCCCGCTCTCGCCGGCTGTGCCTGAGCTGCACCCGGAGCTGGGGGATGCCGGCACTGTCCGGAGCAAGGTCCTGGCAGCCAGGAGTTCCCTGCTAAGCTTGGATTCAGGGTTCTCTGAGCACACGGAGTCGCAGAGCGACAGCTGTTGCGAGAAGGAGCCATCCTATGAGAGAGCCCTCAAGCCAGAAGGTAAGAGGTGCTGCAGTGCTAACCGTGTCTGTGCCAGGAGTCCAGGCAGTGCCAAGACAAAATAGGAGTGATTCTACCTCCTTAGGGGTGACCTCCCACCACAGTGTCTGTTCTTTTGTGAGCTTGGTCCAGAGACCCTTGGGGACATACTTGAGGCCCTGGGAGGTGTGTTTTTTGGCAGTGCTGCCCCACCTGAAATGCCTGCCTGCCCACGCTCTGCCTTGCCCTGGCAGAGCCCATGGGGTAGAGCAGAGACCTGACTAGGAAAGAGATTGGAGTGTTGTGTTGTGGGTGGGGTGGGAAGGCAGGGGCTGGCAGAAGCCTCTGAATCCTGTGGGAGGGCAGAGCAGAGCAGAGCCCGGCACAGGCTGAGCTGGAGGCTGTGAGCGCAGCGTTTCCCTCGCTCTGACTCAGCTGCACGGGAGCAGCCGCTCGTGCTTGGCTGCCTGGCTGTCACGTTTCCAGACACTCGTCTCAGGATGGCAGCAATGTGCAGCGAAGGGGCAAGGCGCAGAGGAGCACAGCTTGCCAGGGGCAGGCGCCTGCTAAAAATAGTCAAGGACACGGGGCACGTGGTTGTGTCCCTGCAAGGCCTTAGCATGTGAGGTGGGGGTGGGGGCACTGCAAATTCTTGGCCCCTATGCAGGGCAGACAGGCAGTGCCACCACGGATCTGTCCCTGCTTGTCTGCAGCTGCCATCCCTGGGTACCAACACACTCCAGACTCGCTGAGTGCCCGCGCCACGCAGTTCTACATCAACAAGATTGATGCTGCCAACCGAGAGCACAAGCTGGAAGATAAAGGTGAGCCCAGAGCCCCGGAAAGCACCACCCTCATCCCTCGTGGCCTTTGGCGGGGTGGTGGTTCTGCCTGGCACGAGGTGAACCTGGTGTGATGGTGGCCTTGGACTGGACAGTGGAAGCTGCATCTGGCACAGGGGAGGGCAGGGCTGTGCTGCGCAGAGCTGCTGCCTGGAAGCTCTTCTCGGGTGTGATATTCCTGCTCTCCTCAGCAAACAGACCAATTCCCTTCAAACCCCTGCACCCACAGAGGGTCTGTGATCTCTGGGTCACCTCATGCCTGAATGGGATGCCCACACCCAGTGCTGGTGCTGCTGAGAGAGGTTGTGCCAGTCTTGCCCCACTAACTATGGGGCTCTGACACCCTGGGGCAGTGAACCTGGCCGTGGAGGTGTCCCGCTGGGGCACTTGTCCCCTCCCAGCAGCGCCGTACGATTGCTGTATTGGGGTGGGCAAGACTGCTCCTAGCCCCAGCAAGGTGGCCTGGCGTAGCTTGGTGGAGCAGATGTGTGAGGTGTGTGCCCCTTCACAGGTGACACCCCCCTGGAGCTGACCGATGACTGCTCCCTTGCCCTGGTGTGGAAGAACAACGAGCGCCTCAAGGAGTTTGTGTTGGTGGAGTCCAAGGAGCTGGAGTGCGTGGAGGACCCAGGCTCGGCCAGCGAAGCAGCTCGTGCTGGCCACTTCACTCTGGAGCAGTGCCTCAACCTCTTCACCAAGCCCGAAGTCCTGGCCCCGGAGGAAGCGTGGTGAGGAGGGTGGCAGGGTGGGTTCCTGCCCCCGGGCTCAGGGAGCAGTGGGGTTTCCCAGGAGCTGCCCAGGCCTGCATGCTCTTTCTTTTAAAGCCAGCAGGGAGCAATGCCAGCGCTCTGCAGGGCTGTGGCCCCCGGCAGGGGAGGCTGAGACCTCCCATGCCCCCTTTGGCAGCCCCACATGTCAGAGACCTTGGGGCTGGGCTGGGCTGTGAGATCTGAGGCTCTCCCCACACCGATAATGAGCACACTCTTCCCCCAGGTACTGCCCCAAGTGCAAGCAGCACCGTGAGGCCTCCAAGCAGTTGATGCTGTGGCGCCTGCCCAACGTCCTCATCATCCAGCTCAAGCGCTTCTCCTTCCGCAGCTTTATTTGGAGGGACAAAATCAACGACATGGTGGACTTCCCCGTCCGGTGAGAGCCTGGGGAACATAGTATGGGGGTTGGTATTGCCTGTGCTGCTTTGCCCAATGCTGACTGCCTCAAATGTCCTGGTGTTTCTCCCCAGGAGCTTGGACCTGAGCAAGTTCTGCATCGGCCGGAAGGGCGAGCAGCAGCTGCC